GTTGGGAAAGGGCTTTGAAACCTCGCATGTCTTTGAGTCTACAGTACTGTCATTTATTCATAGACTCTTTCTAATACCAGGGTGATTTGCTTTTTAGATTACTCTTGCATGGAAAGCGAGTGTCAGGAGTCTTCAGCTCTGTGGAATTCAAAACCAGGTTCATGTGTGTCTGTGTGTGCTTTGATAGATATTTAACCAAGTTCTTTTCTTCTTCTTTTCAAGGTCCCCGAGTCCCGATGGTGACTGTTCACAACACAACTGATGCACAGAGTAAGAATGGGCTTGAGCCTTGCAATTCTTCAGAGCAAAGTAGCCAGGCAGGACACGGAGATGTAGCTGCTGTTTAGTAAACTTACACTGGCAGGGAGCCCAGACTCTGCCTAGATGCAAGTCTTGGGATACGAAGACAGTGGTTTGGGCATGACATTTGTTATCAACTTTCTCAAAAAAATACACAGTCCAGATCTCTCTCTCTTTTTGTAAGTCTTTTACAAATATTGATTCATGTCCTACTCAAAAATAAGAAAAATTTAGCTTAGTCTATGGTTTTTAAAAAATCACTCTGATATGGATCACCAGGTTGAAAGAGAGAACACAGAGGAATGAGCCCCACAAGTTGTACCTCTGCCTGGTTTCCTGCTCTGTTCATGGGGTTTGTAGCAGTTACTTGTTCAGTACAGCCTTTTTAATGCTAGTGATTCACATCTACACCAGTGTGAAGCTGGAATTATTCCAAATATAGGTTTCTTCCCTCAAAATCTTTGGTACTGGCTGTAGCCATTACCAGACTGGTTAGGACTCCCTGTAAAGCCCAGATAGCCGTGAGGTTTCTGGGGTTCCTCCGTCACCCCTGTAGCAACACAAATTATCCAGAAAGATCAATTTTTTACCCCAAGTCAGCGTGGCAGGGAGCCTCAGATAGACAGCCTTTCTCTGTCCCTTCTCTACAAGGGTCTTAAACCAAGGTGCCCCTTTTTCTTTCATGAGTCTCAGTAGACTTCATAACAGTGTGAGGGACTGAGTCTCACGTGAAACCAAGATTTATCTGTTCCCATCATTTTGATGGCCTCAAGTTGCACCAGGGGAGGTTTAGATTGGACGTGAGGAAAAATGTCTTTACTGAAAGAGTGGTTAAACATTGGAACAGGCTGCCCAGGGAAGTGGTTGAATCACCATCCCTGGAAGTATTTAAAAGACGTGTAGATGCTGCGCTTAGGGACATGGTTTAGTGGGCATGGTGGTGTTGGGTTGACAGTTGGACTCAATGATCTTAGAGGTCTTTTCCAACCTTAATGATTCTATGATTCTATGATTCTATGATGGGAGACCCTTAACTTTTGTTTTAATGTAGAGTTTAGCCCAGCCTTAACCTGCAGTCAGGGACTTCAGGCATTACTGTGATCCAAATAATAAGCAACACCCTTATTCTAGCCGCTCTGTATGTGGCCAGTTTATCAGGTGTCAGTTTAGCTTAACTGGATTTACAGCAACTCATTGCTGTTGTATCTGCAAATGAGCAGAGCAAACCAGGGAACTTGGCTCCCAAACTAAAGGTTTTCTGTGAAATGCTGAGCTCCTTAATTTCCCATTGAAGGTGGTAAGTGTCAAAGGAAAAACTCCTGTGGCACCAGGACATGTAAGAAAAAAGCACAGGATCCACCTTGCTTTATACAGTTGCCGTGTGTGACTTTTTATACCCTGTTCTCTCAAATTCTGTTGGCAACATGCATTTCAAGCCCTTACTCCACCTTGAAAAGTTCTGCTTGTAACCAGGATGTGTACAGTGCAATCCCAAATTCTGATTGCATTTTTTTAAATCAAATTTAAAATCAGATTTGTGGCATATTGTATCCTTATAATTAAAATAGAAATACTCATCAGTGTTCCATCTAGTGTCGTGTCCAATACTGTTAAGGAGATGCATTGTACATTTAACTCTGATTTATCCTCCCATCCTTTTCAATTAATTTGCCCAATTAAAAAGTTCCTTTGCAAAGAAAGACATGCATAAAATTTAGCAGCATCCTGGGACAAGTTAGGTTAAAACAATGTACTGCTGTGTGACTGTCCTGTAAGGGCAGCAAGAAAGATCTTTTCTGCCAAAGCAGAGCAGCACAATGTACCCTGGACCATGGCTTAGGGTGTCTGCCATCACCTTGCTTATGGGATGACCGAGAGATAAATATTTCATTTCCTTGTGCCTCAGTTTCCTCACTGGTCTACAATTTCTGTGTAAAAGTGCCATGAGAGCTGACTGATTTTGCTGCCCAGAGGAGGGCTCTCACTTTTTCTTCATGTTCATGTTGTTGCTGCTGGCAATAGTGAGATAGGGGTATAGCTCTGTCCTGGTCTAGACTGGTCTATATAAGTCTGGTCTCTTGTGAAACTACTTCTGCTATAAATAAGCAAAAGTTGGCATTCGTAGTTATTCTGGTCTACAAAAATACAAGAATTGCTTTTTTAAGTAATACTGAAAGCACATTGCAAGCTCCTAGCTTTCCAGTCTTTCTGCACCAGTGACCACTCATATCTCAGTCTGTGCACAAGGGTGTATCAACTCTTCTTCCTCCCAGCAGAGACCAGGGCTTGGCAGAGCCCTTGCTGAGCATAACTCCAGAGCAGCCTGGAGGCTGCTCTGCCAGCCTCTTCAGCCACAGCAGATGTTGTCACAGGGCCAGGAGAGTTTCTTAGCTCTGACCTACAGCGCCAAAGTGGCTTTCTTTTTTTCCCCCTTAAACACAATACCTTAATGTTGCCGAAGACATGGAGATGGCTGGCTGGCTATAACAGCATGTACAGGATAGTGCTCTCATGAACTGTGTCATAGCCTCCTGTGTAGTTTTATAAAATACTTTTAGGTGAATAAAATGAGAGATACTATAAAACAGAAACAGCAAATGAAGGGCTTGAAAAAGTAACATAAAACACACTGAGACTAGTTTTATTTTGACAGATATACATGTGTAGCATTTATTACATAGAGAACTGGATCTAGTCATGCACAGAACACATCCCCTACTGAAATTCATGATCTTCTGCATATGGTTATCATTTCCCCTGGTTCCTTTTTTTCCCCTCATTCTTTTGCTTTTGAATAAAGGGCAACTGACAGTTGCATGTTACTGAATTTACTTATTTAATATGAGCCCATTACTCTATAAAGGGAGTTTGCCTCTGTATTCTGCAATAATCTGATAACAGTGAGCTGCACTGAATATTATAGCGTGCTTACATTTAATTAAGCAGTGACCATTTGTACTGCACAGACTCAAGCTCCCTGTGGTCCTAAAGCAGAAAAGAAAGTCCTTTAGGAGATATGCCAATCTTTTTTATTTCCTCCACAGTCTTCCTGGCTTTCTGTGAATGCAATTATATGAACAAATAAAACGGCTTGACTAAATTCCCCTACGTGGCAAGCCCCTTTCTGCTGATAAAGCTACTTGTGTGTGCCATAATTAAATAAGAATCTTAATATTTAACTAAATGTAATAGGCTGTTGTTTTGGCACTTTTGTGGGGGTTGTGGTTTCAACAGAGATGAGCCAGACTTTTCAGAAGCAGGGTGAATAGTCATTGAACCAATATACTACTGCTGAAAGATCTGTGAAATTTATTAACTGGCATGTTTTTGTGCTGTGCCTGCCTGTTCAGCAGAGATGGGCAATGAGAGCATGATAATCAGGTCCTGTAAGTATTATTTGAGGAGCTGGAGTTACACATCTATTTATCAGTGCATCTCAAAAGGGAAGTTACAGTCAATAAAACACATAATTTGGTGCGAAATCCTCAAACCCTCCTTGGGTTCACGTGGCAGAGATGGTCCCCTGGATGCCCCCAGTTCAAACCCAGCCTGATGCCATGGGGATGAGCACTGCAATGAGCTCCCCAGACCAGGATTCACTGCCACTGCAGTGGGATCCCCCCGGCCTTTGAATCCCTCCCCCATGGGGGTCAGGAGCCTCACCATCACCAGGAGACATTTCCCACCACCTAGGACATACAACTTGAAACATCTCCTAAAGATGGGCCCTTTCTGTACCAGCTGGGAAGGACTTGCTCTTTCTGATGTTGGAGGTGGCCACTTTTTCTAGAAGAGGCTCAGCAGTTAGAGCACATGGCCAGGATGTGGGGTGTAAAGGCTAAATCCTGGGAAGGAGGGAGGAATCCTCTATTTCAGCCCCAGAGTCCTTGGATAAGACACACAAGCAAAATGAACAATTCTTGAAACACTCTGAAAGCCAAGACTGCTCCAAAACCTGATGTTGCAGGGTTGTATGTTTTTTGTCCACTTTACTCTCCCCATGGTTTTCCTTCCCATGGATTTTCTCTTGTGTAGCAGCACAACCTTGTCCTGAAGCCCTCCAAAGTCTCCTCGCTTTCCCCATTTATTTTGTGTAACTTGAACACGGACATTCTTCATTTGATATCTAGCTTTGCATGGCAGGTAGATGTCTGACTGGGACCCATAGTAGTGTCTCAACACAGAACGTCACATTCCCATTTGCTGTAAATCAGCTGAATGTCACTGATTTCAGGAATATAGCTTTTTGCCAACACAGAACCTGGAAGAGGTTTCAGAGGCTTAACTGAATTAGACGTCTGTGAGGGCTAGAAGGAAATTCTTTCATAAGGAAACTTGTGTTACAAATATTGAGGTGGCTATAAAATGTTAAAATATGTTTTCACAAACAATGTCAAAAGTTTTTGTGATCTTGTCCTTCTTCTTTCAGAAATTTTTGAGCTGGAGGTAAATGAAAATGTGCAGCTGACGGTAAATGACAGGCAAATGCCTAAGGTAGAATACATGGAAATCAAGATAGATGATTACAGTAAGTAGCACCTTTCCTCTCTCTTATTTTTCTTTTTCACTACTGTTGCCGTGAAATTATACAGTCATCTTGGCTAGACTAGCAGGAGGAAAAATTACTTTGGCTCTCAATAAACTCACACAGTTTCCAAAGCACTCTCTTAGGATGTGCTACATAAGGAGATTATTACAGAGACAGGATTTGATGAGAATGCAGCTGAAGAAAGGCAAAATGATAGGGCTGGGGTGTTTTTTCCTTTTAAAATTTTCTTTGTAGAGAAAAAAGCCACTCCGGGAAATGACACGGTGTGATGCGCCCATTGTTCGAGGCATTTGCCCTAGCTGGACTGGTGTATTATTTGAGATGGGTTTGAAGCGGGATACTGTATGTGCTTGCTGGTTACAGCTGTGGCCGCCTTTCAGTATACAATGCTGAACTGCAGTGAATTAAGATGACTCGCCAACAACTGCCCATCGGAGTCATTCATTCAGGATTCTTTGAGAAAGCCATATCATTTGATAGGGTTGGAAAAAAACAGCTTTATGAGAAAAGCCAGGAGAGATTTCACCTGGAGTAAAGAAGGCAGAAACTTGGAGCAGTTTATATCTGCAGCTGGTGCATTATGTATACCACTTGTATAATCATTCCCCACACATCTGTGTGCTAAACAGGACAGAGAGAGAGAGAAAAGCCTAATGGCAAATAGCCAAAGGGTAAGCATTTTCTGCCTGTCTCTGTAGTTGTACCTGAAACAACCTAAAAAGCATCTCCTCTGGCTGTAAGCAGATATCTTACCTATATGTAGAAAATCCACATACTCAGAGTTGTGCAATGATTCCCAAAAATCCCAGTTTGTGTGTATGGTGGCAGCTCTAAAAAAAACCCCAAAGACCCTGGCTTCAAAGTATGACCCATAATATTTCCCATGCCAAAAAGGAGCTCCCCACTGTAAGCCAATTCGTAGTGGCACTGGCAGCTTATTAAGAATAACTCAGCTTGACGTTAAATTTCTTAACTGCAGGTATCATTGAAATGTAATTCTGCTCATTTAACCAAAAATATGTATGTGTGTGTGTAATAAATACAAGCTGGCTGCAGCCATGTGGCTGTTCTGCTGTGCCCTCCCTGTATTTTCAAGGCTTTGGGCTTAACAGCTTTGGGAACACTGCACGCAGCACTCAGTTATATTTAAAGTCAAGCGATGGCCTTTTTGGTTGTCCCTGGGCCATTGATCCAATTTGCAGCTATTAGCATTTGGATGGAATAACTAATTAGACTGAGTGTCAGACAATGATTGCAAAGCAAACCACTTAAACCATGCGGTTAATCTGTGTATTAATCTACTGAAAATGCTCCTAATACTGATTTAATTGCTGGGCCTTTGCTAATCTGGATTATAGTTAACATTTTAAAAATAAAAGTGCTCTCATTAATGCGGAAAGCATTTGCATGGCAGCGTTTTGGCTCTCAGTACCAGGCCACAGGAAGCAGTTAAATGAAGCTTTGGTGAGCACGTCTCTCACTTACATTGGTTCAGTACCAGTATAATGACGTGGGTTTCAGCCGTTGCCTCCTATTTTACAGCAAAATTAAGCCCTTTGAAAGTTAGGATTGAAATACATGTTTTTCTCTCTGTCTTCACACCATTATAGCAAAATAATCCTATTCTCTCCCCCAGCCACCATATTTAATTGGATTTTAAATTATCATTTTCATCGCTGATTTTCCCCCTCCTCTGCTGCCCTGAAATATTGATTTCTGGCTGTGTCACTCATCCAGCTGCCAAAAAGGAAAATTATAGCTATTGCCAGATGTTAATTGAATGCTGTAAAAGTGATGCATGACTGAACAGCTCGCGCTGTACTCCCAATTTACATTTCTTGTCACCTCGACTATCATAATATGGATCTTTTCTTTGACAACATCTGTGTTCCTAAGGCGTTATTTACCAGTGCATCTGATGAAATGCCATTTTGTTCGTGCTCATAAGTGGCCAAAACACCAGGAAAATCTATTAGAGTTATGTCAGCGTTCCCACACTGAAGACATGCTGTTATTTGGGTTTTTTTTCCTAGAATTGCCAATGCAGATCTTAAAGCCAGCAACCTTTTCGGACACTGCGCACTACCCCTTGCTTTTGATTGTGTAAGTTCTCGCTCGTCCTTCCTTTCTGTTCACATTTTTAGGGCAGCATGGAAACCTCAGCCATGATCAGAGCCTTTTAAGATATGTTTTGTATGATGAATGCCAGACCGCTGTAGCACCTAAGTCCAGCACATTGGTCCCTACCCCCTGCCTCACCTCAGAGTTGGGAAAGGCTAGACGTAGGTCCCTTCTCTCCCGTGTTTGAGCCAAGGGTTTCAGCTCCCAGGAGGGTGCCCTAGTGAAATCCTGCAAAGTAAATTGTAGGATTTTGTAAAGTTGTTCCACGTACACTTGCAATTCAACAATTTTGGGGGCAGAAACAGGAGGGGGAGGAATAAAAGACGGATGTTGACTTTGCACTCTGTCCCAGTGCTTAGGGCACTCACCCTGTGCTTAACAGGTAGTTTTAGAGTGGGATGCAGTCAGCCTTACTACAGCTTAAATTTTGGACACCCTCATGCAGCAATCCTTCCCATCTAAATGCCAGTGTTCCCTGAAGTGACAGTAAAGAGCGAGCTAGAAACCTTTGAAGATCTTCACAACGTTAGCATTTCTATTAGGTAGGTAGGATTTCCTCCTGGCAGGTATAGCAGATGGCTATCTCTTTCTGCAACATTTAGTAATAATAATACATATTACTGAGTTTTTTTCTGGCAATTTGGAAAGAAACTGGGGGAGGGAAGTCACTGACCTTGGAAGAACCTGTTTGGCCCTGGCTGCGTCCCACTGCATCGCTTGGTCCCTGCCAGGGAACCCCACAAGAGAGAAGCCTCATGCAGGAGTGATGAATGCCTGATGAATGCCTAAGCACCATCCTGCACATCCCTCCATGAAGGACAAAAACACTGCAATAAGCATGTCATTACATCACAAAATTACTGCAGAGAAAATGTACTTCATTATACAAGTGCTTGAGGAAGATTGGTACTCATCAAGCTAACAGCACTTGATTAGGCTGCCTCTGAAGCTGGATGTGGCTGGGTCTCGCTTAAATAAATGCAAATGACTTAAGTCACATGCACATTAAAATCCTGCAGTGAGTTGCCTGATGTCTCCAAGAACCCCAAAAAGGACAAGAAGTAGATGGAAGTGCCAGTGGCTCTACAGTAATCCCAGTCCTAAATTACTTACAATCATCATTCTCATCTCTTGATTTTTCTGAGCTGTCTGGCTGAAGTGGGGTCAATATTTCTCAAGACAGTTCCCCTCTACAGGATTGGGCCCTAAGCAGAAGGGTGAAGAGGGAGTCTTGCCCACCCCTTCCCCTTCCCCACCAATTTTGGGCCAATCTGAGCATTTTTAAGCTGTTAGTTTTATCGCTTTAAAAATGTCCTTTCCCTCTGTACTTGTGTGAAGCAGTGGTGACAGAAGTGATTGACAGCTCTACCTACATCCTCTCTCAAGAACCCCATGGGAGAAGGAAGGTCTGGGCTGGGTGAATGGGGGCAGTAAATGAAGCCCCAATGCTTGCCAGTAAAGGAAAGGATGATTGATATTCGCAAGCTTCATCCAACATATTTTGGCAGTGCCAGCACACCCCAAAGCCAGGCTCCTCACAGAAATCCCTCCACCAGAAAAATACCATCTTTGGGGAATGTAGAAAATAGGTATAGATTAGAGCAGGTATAAAAAGGAAAAACGCAACTGACCTCTGTGTTTACTCACAGGAGGAATCCTGCCCAGTTAGTGATGTGCTTACTAGGTTTGTTCAAAGCTCAGCTTAGTGCAGCAATAGTTGCTGTGCAAAGAGGGAGGCAGAAACCAGCCTGCAGCTTCCATCCCAGCTTCAAAACCCATCCCACACAACCAGTCTTCTGCATATCATTGTTGCAGAGACTGGTCTCTGTCGTGGTTTAACCCCAGCCGGCAACTAAGCCCCACACAGCCGCTCGCTCACTCACCGACAGTGGGATGGGGGAGAGAATCGGAAGGGTAAAAGTGAGAAAACTCGTGGGTTGAGATAAAGACAGTTTAATAGGTAAAGCAAAAGCCGCGCACGCAAGCAAAGCAAAACAAGGAATTCATTCACTCCTTCCCATGGGCAGGCAGGTGTCCAGCCATCTCCAGGAAAGCAGGGCTCCATCACGCGTAACGGTGACTTGGGAAGACAAACACCATCACTCCAAATGTCCCCCCCTTCCTTCTTCTTCCCCCATCTTTATATACTGAGCATGACATCACATGGTGTGGAATATCCCGTTGGCCAGTTTGGGTCAGCTGTCCTGGCTGTGTCCCCTCCCGGCTTCTTGTGCACCTCCAGCCTTCTCAGTTGGTAGAGCATGGGAAGCTGGAAAGTCCTCGACTAGTGTAAACACTACCTAGCAACAACTAAAACATCGGTGTGTTATCAACATTGTTCTCACCCTAAATCCAAAACACAGCACTGTACCAGCTACTAGGAAGGAAATTAACTCTATCCCTGCCGAAACCAGGACAGTCTCCCCTTCCTGAAATCTACCCTGCCTTACAATGCATGCGGGAGCTGCCTGTCCCCATTGCCACGGCAAGCTCACGGCCCTGGGGACAGCATTTGGCCCATGCTTGGTGCCATTGCCTTTGCTTGATGCCTGTTTCTGTTTCAGAGATGGGACGCCTGGCAGCCAGATTGTAACAGAGAGATTTGAGGTGACGTGGGAAAGCGTCATGGTCAGCTCTCACAACACCATCGTGCTGAAGTTCGACGGCCGCGGGAGTGGCTTCCAAGGCACTAAGCTATTGCATGAGGTTAAGAGGAGGCTGGGCCTTTTGGAAGAGAAGGATCAGTTGGAAGCTGTCCGGTGAATGACACTGTTATTGAAGAAATTAATTCATTAATTATAATTAACTCAAGACTGTCATTAGTCCTGGTTGCTTTAATGGTGTGTAGGGTAGAGCAAGGAGATGGGAGGGAAAGCCAATGCAGTCATACAGCTGTGACCAAGTCATGGCATGTGAAAGAGAGCTCATGCCAGCCAGTGCAGACAGAGAAAAAGAAGCCTTAAGCAGAGCTAAATTAGAGCACACTTATCTGTATCATGTGTTCAAAGCCTATTTATTTTTAGCTCTGTACAGTCATACAGCTATGAACAAGTAAGCTTGAATATCAGCTCCTACATTAATTTTTTGCTGGCCTGGTAGTTGGAAAAAATCCATCTTCAAACCCTTAAAATTTTTAAAACAGAAAAAAGTGCAAAACCCTAAATGTCGAGTCCTGTCATACTGTTAGTTTTATTCTGCACATAATCACGCTAAAAACAGTATCAGAGTAGTGCAATAGCATCAGCTTTATTATGACTTTCAGAGGTCATGCAAGTTATTTGTTGCCATTGCTTGGTCAAATCCAACACAACAGGTTGCAAGATTAAATTGAACAGAGATTCATGTGAAAGTGGCGTGTAGCAGCGTGAATTTAGATTGTCTGCATTGTTTTTCTGCGGCCATCCCAAATTCAAGCTGATAAAAATCACACTATGTTTGCTATATGTAAGAGAAAAATATTTTTAACCCATTGTTTCTTCTCTCTCGTGTTCTAGGACAATGCTGAAGGAGCATTACATTGATAAAATGCGAGTCGGTGTGTTTGGGAAGGTAATGTTTTCCCGTTGTTCCCCTGTGCTGTTCTAGTTGGCTGATATGGCTAAGCAGCTGAGCTAAATCCTGATTTATTGAATATGTCAGTGGTGAATTTTTTATTATTAATTTTTGAGATAGACTGCTTCTTGCTCAGAGATGTTAAAGATGAAAGCTTTCATTTTATCAATGTATTCGTCAATTTTTTTTTTTATTAACTTCCAAGTGCAGAAAGCGACTATTTGTCAGAAAAATGCTGTCAGATAATTAATTATTTTTTCCCCTTGCAAACTTTCATTTTGTTTTCATCTTGTCCCTTAAGGCCTATGGGAATGTGGGTAGACCTAGCTCATGTCGTACAAATGTGCAACAACAATATTGATTTCTGAGGCTGATTTGCACCACAGTGTGTGCCCGGCTGGGAAACAGCAATTGCAAAGTACACACAGTTTGAAATGAGAATGGGACTGCAAGTAGAAATTGTTTATTGTGGGAGATGCAGGCTTAGAGTGGGCGAAGAGCTGCACATACAACAGCATCTCTGCAGGGAATTGTTAACAGGCTGACGGCAGATGCTGAAATTGTGATATCCATTTTAAATAGCAAAAGACTGGGGTAATATTTTGGAGAGGTAACATATCTGATTAGACCTACAGCCATAAAGTGGGATGAAAAGAGGCAAGCTCTTGGGCACAAAACCCTCCTGCCTTCAGGAGAGTGCGACGAGTATAGAACTCATCTTCAGCCTCATCTGCCGAAGCCAGGGAGATATCCCTTGTTTCATGTTTTTTCAGGGCTCTATAATGGCTGAGAGTTTGCTGCAAGGTCTCAGCTGCTCTGTTTCTGTACCCAAAAGCAGCAGTGCCTCATTGCAGGACCGCTGACGCCCCTGCCCCATTTGTGTTCCAGGATTATGGCGGCTACCTGAGCACTTACATGCTTCCAGCTGGCGAAGAGAACCAGGTGTTCGCCTGTGGAGCTGCTCTTTCCCCACTGACAGACTTCAAACTATATGGTAAACCCCATCCCAGAGCCTACAGACCCTCTTGCTACCACAAATGATGTTTCTGCCCTAATCTTTCGCAGTTATCTTCTCTTTGTTCCCCAAGATCCTGCCTGTTTTGTATTGTGTGTCTTCTTAGGACTAGCTATAAGCCCTTTTTTCCCCCTCAAGAGCAATTTTGCTGGCACCAGTAGGACCAACCATGGTGGTCAAAGTAATTACTCACCTCTTTTAAATAAAAGAGAATTGGCTCTAAAGCCCTCCAGCCTCTGACACCAACCTGCACCACTGCCTTGAACGTGCTTCTTTCTTGCCTGAACCACCCATCCGTGGAGCTGTGGTCCAGCCTGCCCACTTCGTCCTCTCTCTAGCGGCAATACTCCACTGCACACGGTGGTCCTTTCTCTTAGGGACACCAGTTCCCTTTGCACTTGGTCCCAGTGAAAATCAGGGGACTGCCATAAAAATCAGTGGTGTTAAGCCAGCCTTCAGGTCCCATACAGTTATCCCTGAGAACAATGGAAGCCCGCAGTCGACTGTTGATGGAGATGGCCCCATGTGAAAGGAGAAAGGGACACAATATGATAGTGCTTTTCTCTTGTATCTCAGTTGCATTAACAGAAAAAAAAAAGCTCTTCTGTGACTGATTTAGAAACCATAAGTAAATGGTGATAATGAAGGACTGTAGTATCATATGTATTCTTAGTGCATATTCAAAAACTGACAGAAATATGTCCTGTGTAACTAGGGCAATGTTAGAAAATAAGGTCTTTTTTAGTATTTGCAGTATTTGACTCAGAAGCACCAGTGTACTCACTTATGACTGAAAGAGATGTTTTCTTTTTTTCTTTTCAAGCTTCAGCCTTTTCTGAAAGATATTTGGGCTTGCATGGGATTGATAACAGAGCATACGAGGTAACTGCATGGCCACTGCATTTCCCTGATAAAACGTGAATGGAGTTTTAACTCTTCCTCCATGTGTTCTTTTTTGGGAAAGGAGCAGCATATGCACTAGTAAAAGTCTGAAGGTGTCCTTCAGCCTGCTGAGTGCTTTTGTTGTCTTAATAGTAATAATGGATATGGTTTTTATTGATTAACCTTCATGTCTGCCTCTCTAAATTGGGTAAATACAGTTATTCCAGTTTTACAGATTGAAAGAGCTGTGGCTGAGTGACTCAGATGTGCCTAAGTGGACAGGATGTCATGACCTCCTTTAAAGTTCATCCCAATAGTCTTGCCACTTTGATTCTCTCCGAGATATAATTTTTGACCCAGAGTCAAGTTAAGCTCAGCTTCTCTTGGCTTTTTCAAAGTCAGCACAGATGTGATATTTCACATAGGCAGAACTGTGTGCCAGAGTTGGGCAGGACATGGAAAAGGAGACATGGCACCAGTTAATGAGGATATTGTTTAATATGTATTAGGAAAAACCTAATAAAGAATAGTCACACAAACAAAAATTGTTATACAGAAAACCTTGTTAAGCCTGCTAAGCCTTGTCTTCAGCTAGAAGCCATGAAGGCAGCAAAGGTTTGAAACTGTTTTCTTACAGAGAAGGCAGGTAGCACCCTGTGACCCTGCAGTGGAAGCTTTTCCTGGCTATCTAAATACTGAGATCATTGTCTCTCAGATTTTGCACTCATGATCTCTAGATCATTGCTAACTCTTTTAGTCCTTTTAGAAATTTGAAGGCAGGTCAGTAGAGGTGAAAGCAAGGGAAGATATTCCAGAAATGAGAGCTTTGTATTGCCACGTGCTCTTTGTGCGTTGAAAAGCTGGCCTAAGCAAATAGCGGTACTTTTAGCTGACTTGGGATTAACTGCTAGGAACAGCACCTGAGCTCTCCGCAGAGCATGGCACTGTTCTGGGTACGGACCCTAAGTGATACACGTCTCCTACATGCCACAGTTGAACCATGAATTGCTTAGGGAGAAGAACTGCCCCTAACCCGTGGACCAGACATGAACTTACGAAGGTCACATAATTCAAGACTTGATGTAGACTCCAAAAAAGCTGTATTGTCATGTGGTAGGTTACAACTGAGGGAGCAGAGAGGAAGGAGCCATATAGGGGGAGAACAGAGTGCAAGATATGTGCATACACCATCACAAGACTTAAGCATCACAGCCAGCAATCTGAGGATGAGACAACTCATTAACTAAGTCTAACAACAGAGGGAAGACCAGAGGCCACCCTTACAAAATTTGCAAACGCTTTCTAAGTCAATACAGAGCGTGGAGCTGCAAGAAAGCCAGAACAGGCCTGCATCCACCAAAATTTCCGAAAACTTGCCTCTAGCACCAAGGAAATACGCAGGACCACTTCTAATGTTCAGGGTTGCTTTATCTTTTAAATGAGGAGAGATACACATAATCTGTAATGTAAAATGTCAGTGACCATATCTTAATAATACATGCCAATGTTTTTAGCCAGCTAATTCAACCTCCATAACCAGGCATGGAAGGTTCTGTTGCTGTTGGAGATGCACTTGGCTATCTTCTGTGGAAACCGCATAGGACAGTGGGAAGATGAAAACAGGTATAAGATAGGATTGATACAAGGGTATCTTAACTGAAAAATACATTAGCTCATGCAAGTGAATGAGAGCTAGGGCAAATGCCTTTAAACAGTGAAGGAAACATGAATTTAAGCTGAGACAGCTCTTCTTCCCTGCCCCCCTTGTCGTGGTTTAACCTCAGTCGGCAACTGAGCACCACCCAGCCGCTCGCTCACTCCCCCCACC